TCTCTCCCTGGCTAAAGTCACAGTGCCTTGGTGACTTTTACTCTGAAATCCATGGAAATGTGAAGTTTACTGTTTTGCTCTCCCTGCTAAAATATAGCATAATAACTAGTTGCTGGGTTACTGCGTAAAACACAGGCCCCAAATGTAGCCAGGAAGAGCAGTTAGCAATTAAGTAAAGGAAATGACCAGTGGGTTTGAAACTCAACACACAGCCCATGTACTTCTTAGCATAGAAAGGCATCTGGGTTACTTAGGCAACTTTTATCACTAAGGAAGTAGTTTTGGTGACTCATGCTCATCCAGAATGACTTCTTTCAAAATCTGTGTATTTGGTGACTTTACCATTAGGCTTCTGTTTTCCTTTTTCTTTGGACTGGGACAGAAAAAAGCTACATTTGGATGGCATAGGTTTATTACTTAGTAGCATATTAGTCACTGGCTGGCCCATGTTTTGAAATTTAATGGACTCGTGGTGATCAGAGTAAAAGGTCAGTAGTTCTTGCCCTGCATTGCTATATTAAATGTGGAACTAAGATTATTTTTTAAGCAGAAATGTTATGTCTTATATTAACAACGTTTCTTGTCAGTTACTTTTTATTATTTGATGTAACGATACTGCTATTGAAAATACTGGTCACATTAAAGGACTTTATACCATAACCTAAAATGCCTTAGTTTTCCCCCAAGGAGATGAAAAATGGAATTAAAATTGTCCATGGAGAGCTGTCTGGAGGTGATAATTACAAAAATAAAGGAACCAGAAGGGAACTCCTCTGCGGCTTCTCTCTTCAGATTATCTGTCTACCTGCTTGATGTTCTAATAGTATTTACTGACAACTGATATTTTTCTGTGTTAAAAAATAGTAGAGAAGTTGTAGAAGAAGTGAGCTAACTCAAAGAGTGATAGGCCGATAATGTGTTTGGAGAATTATGGAAGAACTTACTATTGACAAAGAAAACTGGGAGCCAAGCCCAAGTGATTGGGCTCTTGGGGTTGGTTACAGAGGCTCTGGGTTCGCCTGGTAACCTTCTCGATACCAGTGTTTAGTGCGGCCAGCATAGGGCTCACCTGGATCGTCTTTATATCTTTTGTTCTAACTCCAGAAATCATGCCGTAAGTCTCAAAAATGTAGCTGTTTTCATTTTGCTTTTAATTTAGCCCTTTTCTGTTTTTAATTTTGTGGCTGGAAAAGCTTGAAAAAGGCAATGAGTCATGACAACCATTTCTTTTTCTTCCAGATAGAAGCCTTCAGTGTGAGGCCAGGGCATGGAGCACCGTTTGTGTGATTCATGAGCCTTAGCAGCCGAGCCCTTTTCTGTGGGCCCCCTTTAAGGGAACATGGGAGAAGGGGCTAGTCCAGTGGTTCTCAAAGTGTGGTACCCTGACCAGCAACATCAGCATAACCTGGTGTTTGTTGGCGACTCTAACCTTAGACTGACTGAGTCAGAACCCACCAATCTGGTTTTTAATAAGACTTCCAGATGATTCCAAGGAGTGCTGAAGTCTGAGAACCACAAATTATTAGTATTTGTGGCCATGAAGAGTATGAAAAATATAGTGGTTGGAGAGTGGGGACGTTTATGAGTCTGTTGATGAGGAAATGAAGAATAGATAGAAAAGAATGTTTTAACTTTAGAATTCAAAAAATAAAAAGTCTGGAACTTAATGAGGAGGATTGATTGCTTGCAAGAACCCAGAGAAGGGCAATCCAGATGAGTGGGGTACTGTGAACTATATTGGCATGGTTCTGAAATTCTCGAATAATCTCTTATGAGAAAAGGCATGTCTTTCTGTATGAGGACATACATTCAACTCAGGTTTGTAAAATCCTTTAAGACTCTCATGTTCCATTGGCTTCACCAACTCATTTGCATCTTGAGGCCCCTGTTTCTGCATCTGAAAACCATCTGCATTGTTACTTGCCACAAATGGTCTCATCAGAATGAAGTCAGAGATTCAGGATATGTAAGAGGATTTGTGAAGTGATTTGATTACTGAAAAATGTGAAGCGTAAGGAGGAAGAATAATTAATATCAATATTGACAGTAAAGAGGGGCTTAGAAGGTGATACAAAAATGGGTGGCTATTTCAACTTCCCTTGGACGCATACTGCCTTTAGTCCTGGCTCTGTCGTGTATTAGTTTTTGATGTTAAGTAAATCACAGTTTTTCAAAGCTTTTCACCTTAGTTTCCTCAACAAAAATATAGCATCAATGATACCTACTCAGAGGATTGTTGTGAGAAAAAAAATTAGATTAAAATATAAAAATGCAGCTTGTAAAGGTCAAACATTACACATTTTAGATATTGTTGTTAGGATTGTTGTTATTTTATGTCTGGGTTGAGGAAGCTTTGTGATTGTTGACATAATGACATCCAGGATTTTGGAATAAATGTGTACATCAGCAGATTTTATGATTACAAAAAATAGCTATGTTTGCTTTTCTACTAATTCTCCTCCAGTGGAATGTTTTCATTTTCTCGTGAAATGAGGGAGATCCACATATGTTTTATTAAAGAAAGCAAGCCTGATATTTTTTATCCTTTGAACCAAGAGACTACATTTCACTCATTCTTTCAGGGAAAGATGACAGATTGGGGAGTCAGGCTACCTGGGTAAATTCCCAAGTTCTGCATAAGCCTCAGTTTCCTTGTATATAAAAAGGAGGTGTTAATAATACAGAGCTGTATGAAGATGAAGTGAGAAATGTATATAAAAAATACGTAGTAGAGGGGCACAGGGTAAGCACCCAGTAATGTGGGTTGTTATTAAACTACAGCATGAAGCGGGGCAATGTGTCTGAAAAGTCAAGGGCAGGAGAAAATAAGAAGACAAGGGGACAGCTTATGAAATGGCTGTCTTTGCAAATGAAATTTTGCAATGAAAATTCAAGCAGGTCCCATGACTTTCCTGGTGACTCTTACTAAATTAAACAGTTCTGTTTATAATAGAGAAAATTAATCATAGTGATTTATAATCTGCATGTCTACCTAATAATCAAAATTTCAATCTTGCTTTAAAGTTACACGTCTTCCCTCTCCAGGCTTGAGAGTGCTGGATGCAAGGGAATGGGAGTACTAGATTTCTCTTTACTAAGTGCTTCTCCTCCTCCTTTCCCATCTTGCTAACTAAGGTCTCTTGCTGCTTCAGGGTTAGAGCTCATTGAGAAGAGGTGAGGGAGATAAGAAAGTTCTTTCTTGACAAGTACTGTTGGTGATTTAGAGTTTACCTGTCTCCATTTGGCGTGTGTCTAAAACTGGCCCTTTTTCTAGCAGGTGCTTCTTTGGGGACTTCTCATCATTGGGATGGCTCTCTCAAGGCGTCCTTAACATGCAGAGGTGCATTCATATTTAGTCTTCCACAGTCCCTAGAAGTCACTCAGAAGTATACTCTTTGCTTCTTTTTTTATATATACTTTTTTTATTTATTTGAGAGAGAGACACACAGTGAGAGAGGGAACACAAGCAGGGGGAGAAGGAGAGGGAGAAGCAGGCTTCCTGCGGAGCAGGGACCCCAATGCGGGGCTTGATCCCAGGACCCTGGGATCATGACCTGAGCCGAAGGCAGATGCTTAATGACTGAGCCACCCAGGAGCCCCATACTCTTTGCTTCTTTTTTGCTGTGGTAATTTCTTTCCAGGGGCTCATCCTCCCTACAGGATCTAAAAACAGCGAGCTCTCCCTTGTATGGTTCAGATCTGGTCAAAGGGACTTTACTTTCTAGAACTCAGAGGCTAGAGGATGGGTACAGTTGTAAACTCCCAGGGTGGTCCTTTGAAGCTCTTTGTGTTGGGCCTGAGGTGAATAGCAAACAGCTCCATAGACCTTCTGGGGAAAAGGTCAATCCACACAGCATGCTGACAACTTTCTCCAAAAACTTTCGTCTTCTGGGTGCATGGGTGGCTCAGTTGGTTAAGCGTCCAACTCTTGGTTTCTGCTCAGGTCATGATCTTAGGGTCATGAGATCAAGCCCTCCATTGGGCTCCCCCTCTCAGTGGGGAGTCTGCTTCCTCTCTCCCTTATCCCCCACCCATGCTCGTGCATGTATGTTCTGTTTCTTTCCCACCCTAAAATAAAATAAATCTTAAAAAAAAAACAACTTTCGGGCGCCTGGGTGGCTCAGTCATTAAGCGTCTGCCTTTGGCTCAGGTCATGATCCCAGGGTCCTGGGATCGAGCCCCACATCGGGCTCCCTGCTCGGCGGGAAGCCTGCTTCTCCCTCTCCCACTCCCCCTGCTTGTGTTCTCTCTCTCGCTGTGTCTCTCTCTCTCTGTCAAATAAATAAATAAAATCTTTAAAAAAAAAAAAAACAACGAAAAACAACTTTCCTCTTCAATAATCTCTAACTCATTTATACCTTCAACATGGATAGATGGTTGTAAAAGTTATGTCACTCTTTCTGGTGCCCTTCCTTTGAAAACTTTGCATTATAGTGTTGTATTTCACTTCAGAATGTGGTTTCTACTGTGTGCTGCATGAGTTGAAACTTGTACTTTAACTCCTATTAAAGGAAAGAGGAAAAGATCATATTGGGGATACCCTAAGTTGGGGATGCCCTGACTTCTCAGACCATCACCCTCAAGTTGTTGTTGCTGCCAAGGAGAAAATGGTTTGTCCATGCATGAGAGTCAATGGTTTGACCCTCATGAGTGCCCAAATCACAAAGTAAAGCTTTCAGTGTGAGCGAGTGTTTTTTCAGATGTTCATATTTAATTATTTCCTCATAGGCAGCTTTTGTTTTTTAAAGTGACTGACTTACATTATTCGTGACTTACATTATCAATCTTGGGGCTGACTTATGTTATTGTTTTGGGAGCTAAAATGTGTTTAAAAATGGTGTTCAGATGAAGTTGGAGAACTGTTAACTTTTACCAGTTGTAATCCGATCCTAAACTCCCACTTGTATTTAAATAAACTTGTCTTGAGACAAATTAAATATGTTATGTATTGTGTTTAAATTTTTTAAATTATTATTATTGTTATCATATTTGCATTTCAGGCATAACATTTTCTAATGTGAAAGCTCACATGTGGCTGCATGTGTACAAGAAGATGCAGCTCTGAACTCAGGCCCAAAATGTCTGCGACTGCCTTGTGGTAGTTCTGGAGGTAGGTATCTAAGTACACGATGAATATGGACTTGGACTTGAAATGTCATGTAAGCCTCCTTTTTTGGTGTTTTTGTAGTACTAGGTACTATTGTGAAAATTACATGGACCTCTGAAAAATTGCTGGGAGTTTGAAAATTGGGTGTGTTAGGTATATTTGTCTAATAACTCTTAATATCAGTTTGGTTATTTTTTTCAAGTATGCCTGATTGGCATGGTGGAGTTAGGATAGTGAAACCTTGAGATAATGACTAAATGCCCATCTATGCATCCATCCACCCAAGGGGGGTTCTTCTAAAATATTAGAATTTTGTATTACAATTGCCCATGGTTAAAAATAAATCATCGTCATAATAAAACATTGGCATTAATCTGAATTTTTTTTTTTTTTAAAGCAAAGTCTGTATTTTGGTTCCTAATTGTGAAAAATGAGAGCACTATTTTATTTTTTACTCTTGAAATACCTTCTATTTGATGACTTTTTAAATAAGTTTATGGGAACAATATTGGCAAGGCCAGGTGCCTATTATACCTTAGTGTTCTTTTCTTTCCTCCTCCTCTCATTTTGTCTTCCCTGTTCTCCTTGTCTCTTTCTTTCTTTTTCTTTCCAGATAGCTGGGGATGTGCTCAGAGGAGATGATGATACTTGGGAAGATGACCTGAACCTGTCAACTTTGACTCAGTTAAAGGAAAGAAAGAAAGAGACTTCTAAATTTTGTGCAACACTGTAATTTAAACAGGATTTAGTGTGGCAACAGGCTGCATGGTGTATCAAAGTGGATGCAAAGATGGTAAACTGGAAGGAGGTCTGGAAAGGAGGGAAATGAACAATGAGCTCTACTTTAGACAAAGCAAAGAGAGTGTGTGTGTGTGTGTGTGTGTGTGTGTTATCAAGGTTTAAAAAGGCTTTATTAAGTTTGAGACATCAAGGGGCACCTGGCTGGCTCCATCAGAGGAGCTTGCAACTCTTGATCTTGGGTTCAAGCCCCACCTTGAGCGTAGAGCTTATTTAAAAAAATAACGTAAAAATAAATTGGAAGCAAAAAAAAAAAAAAAATGGAAGCATCAAGATGAACTTGAACTTTAAAAGCTCCCTTCTAAAGCTGAAAGAGTCTAGACTGCCCCTGGTATATCACTCTCTCTAAAGTTAGTTCTGTGGAATATCTAATGTTCTGTTACTCTTCCAATAAAAGAAGGTGGGAGGGTAACTGACCAAATCTGGGGCAGATATCCAAATGAGCTTAGAACCAGAAGGAATAGCCAAGAAATGTTTGCAAAAGAAGAGGAATTCTGGAGGTTCCTAGTAGGTGTGAAAATGTATTACAAAGTTCCAGTATTTGCCCGTGTGGTTCGCCAGCAGGAATAGCAGGCATACCCCAAGAAGGGCTAGCCGCCATGGGGACGATGCTACCTTAGGGTATATTGTGTGAACGAGGATGTATTCCCTTCCACCGTGGAAGGGGAATCTAGGTATTTACGGAAAAGTTGGGTTTAAAACCTCACCTTGCATACCATATCAAAATAGATTTAAAAAATGAAATGTAAAGGAGGAGAACATACAGGTGAGTTTAGCTCATTTTTTTTCTAAGTATGGGACTTCCTAGGCTTAAAAAGGCATCGGATAAATCACAAAGGAAAACTGTGTATATTTGACTGCAGAAAATTAAATACGTTTGTGTCATGAAATATTATAAACCAAATCCAGTGGAAACTGATGAATCGGGAGGCATTTTTACAACACACATGGTTGACAGCTTTATAGCAACAAAAATAAAATTGCGGTAATGCAGTCAGAAACTCATATTATCCCAGTAGCAAAAGGACAAATATGACAAATAACTAACAAAAGAAAAAATTACAGATGTCCCATAAACATGTGATAATTCACCCTTGATGTTAATAAAAAAAAGGGAAAATAAAAATAGCACACTAATTTTTTGGCCTATAAGATAGACAAAAGTTTCAAGTGACAACACTTGTTCATGAGGATTCAGCAGGTGAGCATTCTCAGCAACTGCGGATGGGCTCATAATCGTTTTGGAAATGCATCAAGAACTTAGGTGACAATTATGTCTTTCACCTAGTAATACCCACTTCTAGATTCTATCTAGCTGATGAGAACATCAGAGCATTTGAATATTTATATGCAAGAATTTCATTGCACTGTTCATGTGGCAAAAAAAACTGAATCCTCTTAAATGTTCAATACTGAGAGACTAGAAAAAGAAATTATGGTTGTTTATGTATTACAGAAACTACTAAGGCAGGAAAGATATCCAGCGAACCATTGAATATGGATGATTTTTAAGGATGAGGGTGGAATCAAGGTTTTTTTGGAAGCTGTATCTTTTTTTTTTTTTTTTTTTGCTTTTGTAATTTGCTTTACCCCTCCAAATTAGCATGCATTACTTAGAAAATTCAGAAAAAGGTGAAGATGACACATGAAAAGTGATATATCCCTTTGATAGAAATGCAGAACTGGTCATGATAAAATGTCAGATGGGAAAAAAACCAGAGTATAAAACATAAATGCAATAAGATTATGATTTTGGTAAAAGATAGTTAGTGCAAAGACTAGAGAGAGATACTAAAATATTAGCTATGGTTATCTCTTTGGGTTTTTAAGATTTTCTTTTAAAATATATTTTCCTATTTTCCAGATTATGTGTGATGGGCATAAATATTTTATTAGTTGTGCAAAAAGAGAAAGAATGGTCCTCTTACAGTTGGATTGGGTTTTCAATACTCTGGGCATTTCTGATGTTACTTTTATCATGTCTCTTTCACTTTTGGTGATAATAAAAAAATTGTTTTTCAAATAATAATGTCTCACCTCTAAAGGGAACAAGTAATACGATGGAACTGCAGTCTGAAGTTTTTGGGTTTGCAAACCGTGAACTCTGCAAGGAGACGTAAATACTACTCTGGGTTGCATTCTTTTCCCACCCTATTCTTGGAGTGAGCCCTACAGTAAAAGGAGTAAAAAAGGATAGGCCATGCAGATTCCTGACATTCTTTCCTAACCAGAATGATTTTTAACTCCTAATGTGATTTTTACCCCTCAAAATAGATACCAGCTCTCTTCTTTCATTTATTCTTTGATACCTTCCAGATTTTTTTTAAATTGGTGCTCTCTCCTGATTTCTTTTAAAAAAGTGCTTCTGTGACTTGTAAATAAATCTGTTCACCTGGAGAATATTGATTTATGTGACAGCTCATAACATGAAATTTTCCCCTTTTGATTCTTTGTAAAAAAAAAACAAAACCTGAATATTAAAAAAGAAAAACTGATGGGGCCTAAATGGGTTTATGAGCATTTTAAACATTCATAAAGCTCTTTGAAACTTACAGGCCTACATTATCATTTATGATTGATACTGTCCTATTACTAAAACATACTTTGCCATCCACTGAAATATAGTCTATTTTGGTCATTCCGTATTCTCTGAATGACTAAACATAGAACAAATCCCTTTGAGACTTGTACTATATTTTAACTCCGCAGTGATTACCTTAGATGGGAATGAAAGACTCAGTCTTGATCTTCAGGAATCAGGGTAACTCTGTAATAGCAGGGTTAATGGCCTCTGGGGCATTCCCAGTGTAAATAGAACGTTTGGGGGGATCAGTGGTACTTATGTTGTATAATGTTTACTGGAGTGGCTTTGAAAGATCGTAAGGCCAATTTCAACAATTTCAAGTAAACACGAAGTTGCATTATTTTCTTATGGAGTGAGTAGACTTAGTAATGATGTTACTACATTTTGGTTATTTTTATCACTATTGGATCCTATGAGAATGTCTAAGTAATATTTGGTATCCAGACTAGTACCTGACTAGCAAGGATAGGGTGAAAAAATCCTTTTATTTGATTTTTCTCTGCATTTTAGTTTGTTGGTACTGACAACTGTAGCAATTAAAAAAAAAAAGGTTATGAAGAAGAATGAGGGGTTTTATGGAACGTGTGTGTTCGTGTGTGGTGTCTGTAGGGTGTGTGTGAATGTGTGTGCACGCACGTGTTTCCCTCTTCCTGGCCTTGCTGGATCTGGTTAGGGGGATTTAGTCACCTCAAACGGTTCTGAATGTTTGGTGAATTAGCAGAGAACAGGAGCAAAGTAATAACAGCTCTCTTTCATTTTTATCTCCTCTATTCCCATCATAGGTCTTGTTTTCCCACCTGAAATAATGAAGGTTGTAATAGAAAACAATAAGGAAAGACATCTTATTAGAGAATATGCAAATTAGTCTCTTGGTTATATACCCTCTTTGAAAGCATACCAGGAAAATAATTCTCTGTATGTGATTGTTAGAAAAGAATGGATCATATCTTCCATTATGAGTTGTTCAGATAGGGAAGTTGTTGAGATAGGGAAGGAAACCAGTTATTTATTATTTTAGGCACACCACCGAGTTTATCTCTCTCTGTCTCTCTTTCTCTCTCCTTATATATCAATTAATTATTGATTAAATGCAGACAGTTACCTTGCTAGCAAATATTACCCTTGTTTCATAGATGAAGAAAGTATTAGAAGCAGGATTCATATTGCCTTGTTTATTCTAAGAACTATATGTTCCTTGAACAGCATCAAGGTGTCTTTGTAGGAGTAACTGGGCTGACAATCAACTGTAAGTTTTATTTGTGAGTCTTTGAAGTTGTCTCCCTTTTGTGAAGCAGAATTAACCTTTTTGTCTAGCCTTTACAAAACACATTGTCAGAGCAGTTCATGTTACCTTCTTTGAGCTCAAAAGTTACCTTCATTCCTCAGGCCAACCTGTTCTCGGGAAGCAATATATTCTAGCAACCAGGGCTGCTCTAGTTTGGACCCTCAGCTTTCCCTCCGGGTGTAGAGGCCCAGCAGGCATGGGACAGCTCAATCTGCCAAGTACCTTCTGTACTAAGTTATGGTATAGCCAGCACTATAAAGACCTTTGGAGGACCCCTGAGTAAAAATTCCCCGTTCTCCACCTGGTTGTGGGCTGGGGCAAGTTACCTCAACTTTCTGAATCTCAGGGTCTTCACCTGTCAAACTAAGATTGGGTGAAATCAGTGTCACCTGGGGTCACTTAGAGGCAGCTACAGGGGTGGGTGAGGGCAGGATAGATGATCTGGTGTTCTTCTGGGCCCCCTACTATCCATGCTTCAGCAACAGAACATCTGTGTGCACACACGCACACACTCTACCTCACCCTCTGCCCTGATTCTCGATGAGATTTTGTTTGAAGAAAAGGTTCTATATCTAAAAATAGTTGGAAAAACACTGGGAAATAGTCCTTAAGATTTCTTTGAGCTCTAAATTTCCATGGGTGTAGGAGAGCCGTTTTAAAGATAGACAATCCCACTATCTTTAATTTAACTAAAATCTAATCTTTAACATTTACTGCCAAGCATTTTTAAATTAGAAATTTCAGAAAAAAATCTGAAAGAGAAAAATCAAAGTCAAAATCTGTGACTGAGTACTTTGAGAGGGCAAGCTATAAAGCAAACTGCATGGTTTCTATGCTTTTCTGCAGAAAAACCTTTATTCTTCTGAGGTAAGTGTAAGATAATATTTACAATCAGAAGTCACTAGAATATACTTCACAAAAGAGAAGTACCATTCCTTCAAGACATCGTGAAGTTCATCATTTTCCATCTGTTCTTTTTCTCTTGGAAGCTTGTTATGCCATTAATAGAACACACCTGCTGTTTTCCTGAGTCTTTTCTTTTGTGACAGTCTGTGAACAAGGTGACCGGACACCAGAGGAAGAACAGAAGTGTTGGGCTACAAGGTTTGCTTTTGTGGGAGTTCCTTTTACTCTAAATCTTCGGGGCGCTTATTTAAAATCAGTGTTCCAAGTACAATAATTAAGCACCTACTGCACACTTCAACACTGTTCATTTATTGATGGGCTACCCATTAAGGTCATGACTTCAAGAGGCTGACTTTCAAGCAGCTCTGTCCAATAGAACATTCTCTGATGGTGG